TTACAGAGTGTTAAATTTAACTGTTAAATGGGGGAAAAAACTAACACAAGAGAAGACACTTGATCGAATTAAACTAATTTTACAGACAGGATGTTTAGCATAGTTTAATCTAGAACGGTAAGTGTACGGAGGTGAAATAGGACCCGCGGTTAAAGTACCTTGCTAATGTCGTGATGGCCTCACTGTCTTACGTGACGTAAGTACAGCCACTCACAGCTGTCATACCCCGAGAACCCAAAGACTTGACTCGTCTGCAGTGCAACCGTAAACAACGACGTAATGGANGGGGGGGGGGGGGGGGGGGGGGGGGGGGGGGGGGGTGACGTCAGTGGTAGGTTCAGGAGGACACAGTTGTAGCCCTTAAAGAAACAATGATCTTTCTACTTATTCAAAAGATGACTAAGTGCAATTAGGCGGGGTGGGTGTTTAGGTGACCTGGTTCAAGTTTGAGCATGGTTTAATCTGTAACTGATTAAATACAATTTAATATCATATTTTTCAGTTTTATTTATACGATAATTTTGAGGAAAGCAATGGATGAAAAATACATAGAAATATGTTTTATTAAGACCGATAAATTAACAGAAGCTGACCCATTCTTTTGGGATCAAATGGTTGGTTGTCTTGTGGATAAACACAATAAGCCAAGACAACTCGCCTGGACTCTAGAAACCAGCATTCTTGATAATCAAGGAACCCATTATCTTGAGCAATCTAGCATTAAAACAACTTGGCATTGTCGGTAATCCAAACAATCTAGAATGTTGGACAAGCTAGAAACCAACAACTTGGCATTCTCTGTACTTCAAAGCTTTTTCATGTTGGTTATTCAATAATCCAAGCGATCTTGATTTTTTGGCAATCCAATAACCTTGAATTCTGGATAATCAAACACTTTCTAAGATCCAACAACTTGGCATTTTTGATAATCCAACACTCTTGCTTGTTGGGTAATCTAGAAAGCAAACAACTTGGTATTCTGGGTAATCTAACACTTTAGCATGTCGGGTAATCTACAATACACACGACATGGGATTCTGAGTAATTCGACCCTTTCGCATTTTTGGTAATCTAGACTCTGCAACAATCTAGCATGTCGGGTAATCTTGAATGCAAACGACTTGGGATTATGGGTAATGCAAAGCTCTAGCATGTTGGGTAATCTAGAATCCTACAGCTTTGGAATCAGGGTAATGTAAAGCTCTAGCATGTTGGGTAATCTAGAATCCTAAAACTTTGGATTCTTAGTAATGTAAAGCTCTAGCATTTTGGGTAATCAAGAATCCTAAAACTTGGGATTCTGGGTAATGCAACGCTCTAGCATGTTGGGTAATCTAGAATTCTTCAACTTGGGATTCTGGGTAATGTAAAGCTCTAGCATGTTGGGTAATCAAGAATCCTAAAACTTGGGATTCTGGGTAATGTAAAGCTCTAGCATGTTGGGTAATCTAGAATCCTTCAACTTGGGATTCTGTGTAATGCAACGCTCTAGCATGTTGGGTAATCTAGAATCCTACAACTTGGGATTCTGGGTAATGCAAATCTCTAGCATGATCGGTAACCTAGAATCCTACAACTTGGGATTATGGGTAATGTAAAGCTCTAGCATGTTGGTTAATTTAGAACCAATTAACTTGGTATTATTGTTGATGTAATTCCTCTATATTTTAAAATGCTGTCACGAGGAGTATTTTGTAGGCGATCTGTACCTGTACTGTAGGAGGGCTATACACTTTACTGTAATTACAGGCTGTGCTAGGGATGACATCTGAGTATGGCTGTAACACAGCTCTAGGGTACAACAATGTCACCTTATACCTCAGAGCCGTTAGGTCACAGAAAACTGCACACACAAACTAGGACGAACCTTTCTAATTCTCTTTCAAATAGATTACTTAATTGAGAGATAAAGATCAAAGATAGGTACACTACTTGCTGTTAGAACTTTATTAATAGATTAGCTTCTACACGTCACGTGATTCTCAAAACTAAAACAAAACTGAAACAAATACATGCAACTTTGACCGTCTTACCTTAAACAAAACCTTCCCATACGTACGATCAATAATAGGGATGTTCCATTGTTGTAAAGTGCAGGTTTACCAGGGTACAAACACGATGTAACTGCCACTTAAGCTGTAAGTTGTTGTAGGTAAATACACATAGACTATATACCACGTCGAGCTCTGCATTGCTCTGCAACTATCTGATAGGTGGGGAGAAGTATTTCTGGCTTTCTAGGCCAATAGATTTACAATTTGAGGTTAAGTCGGTAAGAATCACTAAGAGTACATCGCTTCGCATACATGATGGTTTGATGACTTGTATTATTCACATATGTCGGTGTTTGTTCGTACAGCTGGGTGGGGAAGAGTATTTTATGGAATAGTCATGGAATAGTCATCTGTTCAGACAATCAAATTTTGTCATTCTAAAGCTTAAAGTTCAAACATAACTAAAATTTGTTTTTGTTTTAACGTTGTTTTATTTTTGGAAAGCAAAGACAATATATTGTATGCGCTTTCCTGATTTTTTTAACACCAAAAATGTGTCTTTTCGTAAAATGATATATGTATTCCCTTCCGTAGATAAACAAACGCAGACTGTCCGTGATGTGGTTGACATGAACGCTTAATTCACGCAAGATGTATGAACATATTTGTCTGTTTGTATCATTAAGTCAAGTTCGGGAAATGAAAAAAAAAAACAAGTTTAATATTGACCTTCTTCTAATGCATGTGTTTTAGTAATAACTTCTCCATTTCATCCGGATTGTTCATCCGTCAACCGTTTTAATTTTTTAATGCATTATCGCTGCTTTTGAATGTAATCGGGAACCGTCGGCACTTTCCGTAAACGGAAACAAAAGTGCCGACAGTTCCCGATTGATTATTAATGTTGCGGCAGACCAAATTATGAACTGACGTGTGAAACATGGTACAATAAATTATTGCTGTGTATGAACTTCAGTTGTGTACTTATTATCGAGTGAAATATCTGCTGGCAGGATTTACATTGTTTAATTATTCTTCTTCACCTTTTAAAATCCCAAAAGTGTTTTCATGTTGATCTGTACGTAACCGATTGACGTCAGTTCATACCGCCAGGACTATTAAAAGTGTCTGTTCAATTCACATTTATGGGAAGTGTCCACAATGCTGTTTCCACTCATTAAATTGAACATCTTCGCCTCTTTTTTTTAATGTGTTTCAAAAAAAGGGGCGTCACTGTAAAACACGACATTGACAGAACTGTCTTAGTCTTAGTCTCTTGTGCGGTTGATTCAAAGCTTTTGCACAGTATTTTCAATCAAACAACCAAGCGTCTTATAGACAAATATAAAAATGTTGACATGTCTAAAACATGTGATATTTCTTGCGTCCATAGTTAATTTAAATGGAATTTCCGTTTAGTTTGTTCTGAAAGTGAGCGTGCAACAAAAAAGCCACAAATATGTTTGAACCAGAAAAAAAATGAGGACAGTAACATCATTTAAACATGCCTACCATTCGTAAAAGTACGTTTAGTAAAAATGCAGTATTTAGTTTTAATAGCCCAAGTAGCACGTGAGCCAAAAGTCTAATTATCGGAGGACGCTATTTTACAAGTACATATTAAAAACACATCACGTTACTTACCACGACACGTTTCTAGTGTCTAGCAACTTACACGTAATTATTTAAGCTACCGTTAAACAAAATGGAGGGGAAATTTCTGACACCGTTGTGATTGACGTCAACTGTAAGAATTCTCGGCTGAAATGGAGGTCAGTTTTGTTCTCTGTGATGCTTAAGTTGCAAAAACAGTATGTATATTTAATTTGTTGAACACTTTTTCAAAATTCCACTTTTTAAAAATATCATTTCTCTCTCGGTAGTGTTACACAGGTGTACCGAACTTGTATCCGTGTTTAGTTTTCTTTCCAGAAAGACATTGTTTCTATGGTAACACCATATTTACCTCAAGGTCTTTTTTAATAATTAATTAATGTTTTCCGTGATATTATTGTCGTTTAGTGAGAGTAGATATCGAAAACTGCTGATCATCACAGCCCTTATATAGAAGCGGTCAATTACATTAAGATTGGATAGGAAATTTAAGCTCAATTCAGAAATATTTTGAGAAATAAAACGAACTCCAATATTTTGTGCACACACATTTTTATGTTGACATATCTATGGTTTATTTCTCATCCTTGTCCTTTCATATTAGTTCTGATTTTGTTGTTTGTTTTTGTCTATTTTCTGCAAGTAATTACTGATTTTATTTTGCTTTTTTGTTTGTTTCCTTGAAAAATAAAACAAAATTACATTCAAGACACCTGCTACCTTACCTGATAAACCTGTGATTTGTGTAAAAGTTATCTCCCTTGAGGAAACCGTCTAATCATCAATTTACAAGTATTGTGTACCCTAAAAAGTGTCATCAGTTCTTGTGTACCATTCAAAGTATCATCCAATATTGTGGTTCTTTCAAATATGTAATCAAAATTAATGTTCTTTCTAAAATGTCATCAGTTCCTGTGTACCTTTAAAGTGTCATCATTTCTTGTGTACTTTTCAAATGTGTCATATATCAATTGATGCAATAAATTATTCCTAAAAGATAAATTATAAGTTTTCAGTGTGGTAGTCTTTTTGGAGAGAAAGGAAATATTGTACTTAGGTGGCATACACCCTTAAGAGATGTGTAAATCACAGCCACCAAATACATAGAAATTCAAATGATGAATGGTTTTTGTGACCTTGTATACAGTTACATTCCTCTCCGAGAAGATCAGAGCCATTATTTGTATGTGTTATTATATAGTAAGACCCTCCTCGGAGACCACCTAATGTGAATTGTGTTGACAGAGTAATCGAAATTATCTCTCAGGCCTGGCTTAATCATCACAATCAAGAATTCCAGAATAGGTGATTACTGTCGCACCAGTTTTTTTGTCCTTTTCTTGACAAAATTGTACTTTGTAATATGTTGTGTTTCCATTTTTCTATTTCTAGGGTAGAATGCTGGAGAGCTGATTGCAGCAGAAGACAAAAAAGAGCAGATGATACAGAAAAGCAGACGACACACAACAGCAGACGACACAGCCAGGCAGTGTTTAGAGGTGTGAGGAAGGTGTGTGGAGGTTTGTCTTGGGTGTGTGCTGTTCAACATCAAGGTGTGCTGGAGGGACCTCCAGGCCCTGAGGACAAATTATCTAATACGGAAGTCATTTGAGCGGTATTTATGTTGGAATAAAACCAAACATCACTGCAGGGATAGAAAGCCCTCAATTCCACTTGTAGACCAGAAGCAATATACATTCTACGCAGAGAAACCAAAAAGGTGAATGTGAGATTTTCCCTGCAGTCCTCACTGACCTACATGCATTGTCAGTCGATTAACACAGTGTGTGGAGTTCTGGGGCACCCGGCTCATTTTACAATGTTTCAGAATCAAATTGATCGATTGGTCAATACCATCGCGAAACCGAAACTCGTGAAATTGGATTTGTGTGCAGTGTCTCGTTGAGAGGTGTACTGGAGTGCTAAGTAAGACCCCCAGGGCATTGTGGGTAATCTAACAAACCTGACTCCAATAACCTGGATTTCTGGGTAATATAACAACATAGCATTCTGGGTAATCCAAAAACATATTTTTTTTGCATTCTTGTTAATTCAACAACTCAGCATTCTGTGTAATTCAGCGATTGAGTGCTTTTGTTAACAATTTTAACCTGAAAATTGGATATAACAGCAACAACAATAACAACAACAACCCATTATTTTGGATATACGAACCAGCAAGCATTCTGAATACAGCAATTAAAGGTAAGTGATTTTCTAATTTTTAAAAATTAAAAAATATTTTTTTAGTAAGAGAGGATTAAAGGAATTCAAAAGAGTGAAAAAATCATGTAACATAATGCCTCCTCGGTTCCAGGGGAAAATCACACATACGCTGATTTTCCCCAAGGTACCATTGATGACATAATAAGATTTATCAATTTTTGTAGAAAAAATATTTCTGCCAAAATATTTCTTTTATGACTGCCACAATATTTTAAGGTAAAAGGTATACCACTGCATCGTGAAGAAGAGTTCCACTCAGATTTTTTTTTACTTGAGTAATCTCCCTTCTTTATCGAAGATAACGTGACTAAAGGGAGTTTTTCAAGCTTAGAGTGACTTCCCCTGTCAAGTTTTTCATTTTTAAACACATATTTTGATGATGTGCTTGTATGGCACATTGGTTAAGTGTAAACACTTTGCCATGTCAAGGTCCTGAGTTCGAATCCTGCGTTTTTGCTTTTTTTTTTGGTAATTTCCGTTTCATTCCAGCACTTTCCATAATATATGAACATTTAAATTTCAGACAAATATAATTCAATAAAATGCATGGCAATATGTGACTTTTATGGAATATTTCTCTTGTAAAGGACTTGAACAAGTATTTCAAAATAGCGACAATGTTAATAACATAGTTTAATTTGTTGGTAACCTTTACCCTTTACATTGACTCATTCACCCCTGAAATTTCATAATGAACTATTCCAACCTTTGAATTGGAAGAGTTCAAATGAGTCTTCAGGGATGAATGAGTTAATTCACAGAAAAATATATTACAATTGCTGTACCTTGTTTTATTTTTTATTTTTGTAAGACATCTAAATTAATAACAGAATACCCACACAACTAATGGATCACATGAAAATATGTAACTCACAAAAAAAGTAAAATTTGCAGTAAGATTAGGCAGATGATGTGAATACAGCTGATTCAGGAAAAATTGAGAAAAACATTAATGATGAAAAAAGGAAAAAATGATTGATGGTGAGGAGAAAGACAAACTGTATCGGAAGGAGAAACATGTGTAAAGGAATGTTCACCGTGATTACTGGAGTAGCATGTATGTTAAAAATCTGTATACAACGAAAAACCTATATGTCTTCAGAGAAAAAACGCTTAATTTGAAAAATGAGGAATTAGTGGTCCAGATGTTTCCTGTTCCTTACTTCTTAACCCAAACCTACAACAACAGCCTCTCGAAACTACATCACCGAACCACCAATTAGTATTACTATACCCATCAATTTTAACACCCGAACCTCTGGACCCCAACCTCAGATGCCCAACCCACAACCACTTCCTGACCCCAGGCACATGACCTCAGGCCCACTCTCTGACCCTGACCCTATCCTCCTACCTCCAAACCCGTTTTGGATTCCAAACCAACTTACTAACTCATACACGTTATCCAGTCCAAGATACTGACCTTTTAACCTAAGATACACTACCTGATCTCTGACCCCATGACCTCTGCGACACTACCTGACCCCTGACCCTTGAACCAAGGCACACTTCCTGGTCTTTACATCATGACCTTTGACACCCTACCTGACCTCCAACCCCCATGACCTTTGACACTACCCAACAATCTACTCCATGACCTTTGACAGACTACCTGACCTCCAACTCCCATGACCTTTGACACTATCCAACAATCTACTCCATGACCTTTGACAGACAACCTGACCTCCAACTCCCATGACCTTTGACACTACCCAACAATCTACTCCATGACCTTTGACAGACTACCTGACCTCCAACTCCCATGACCTTTGACACTACCCAACAATCTACCCCATGACCGTTGACAGACTACCTGACCTCTAACCCCCATGACCTTTGACACTACCCAACAATCTACTCCATGACCTTAGACAGACTACCTGACCTCTACCCCCCATGACCTTTGACACTACCCAACAATCTACCCCATGACCTTAGACAGACTACCTGACCTCTAACCCCCATGACCTTTGACACTACCCAACAATCTACTCCATGATCTTAGACACACTACCTGACCTCCAACCCCCATGACCTTTGACACTACCCAACAATCTACCCCATGACCTTTGAAAGACTACCTGACCTCTAACCCCCAGGACCATTGACACTACTCGACAATCTACCCCATGACCTTTGACAGACTACCTGGCCTCTAACCCCCATGACCTTTGACACTACTCGACAATCTACCCCATGATCTTAGACACACTACCTGACCTCCAACCCCCATGACCTTTGACACTACCCAACAATCTACCCCATGACCTTTGAAAGACTACCTGACCTCTAACCCCCAGGACCATTGACACTACTCGACAATCTACCCTATATCTTTGACAGACTACCTGACCTCTAACCCCCATGACCTTTGACACTGCCCAACAATCTACCCCATGACCTCTTAAACACCATATGACCGCAATCTTTGTTTAACTGACCCCTGACCTCAGATACCCTACCTAACCTTTTAATCAACTGTTTTTACTGCCATGACACAAGATCCAGAGAGTAAGGTTAATTTGGCTAGAAATCCCCTTACTGAGCAGCACATCAAATCCGTGACACGCCCTCAGAGGATGAGATTGCAGATTTTGCCGGAAAAGTTTAAAAATAAATAGATTTTTGCGAAATAAATCTTATGAATTTGGCAAGATATGCGTGGCCATGCTGAAGAGTGTAGATATTGTATGTCTAAAATTTAACCTTTTAAAAGAAATGCTGTCACATTCTTTGACAGAAGTCTAGCATGTATGGTATACAGTTTCAGCTTTAAAAGTAATTAGTTTCCTCCTTGACACATGTATAAGCAGCCATTTTGGTAATACAAGGAACAACTCGGCATCACGATGTTCTTATATATCCTGTAAAGTTAGATTTGTCAGCCAAGTCTCAAGATGTCAGCTGTTTACAAGGTCTAGCTAAGTATAAATTTCCAGGATGTAAAGAAACTTCCAATTCTGACTCCTGCCTGATGTAACTTCAGATTCCACTAAAAGCTTGGGTATGCAGTGTGAAAGTGTCTAGTAAAACAAACATGTGTATGAATCGGATCATAAATACACAATCTGTGGTGAATGTTAGTTTAGGTAAAGTGAAAGCAGTATGAGTTACCGTGACAACAAAACAGGCATCTGGTATAAAGCTGTTTGGAGTTGTGTAAGCCCTAACGACCAACATCACATGAAATTTACAGTAAATGTAAACATATTCCATCAGTATTGGCTTCAAGCTTTTATTAGACTCCTAATGACATGAAATAGATATTAAAAAAACCTGAATCACGTATTCAATGTTGGTCGTATCATGCACATGTTCGCGACATCTTACTCCTGGCACGTCTCGTCTCGCGGGTTCATCTAGTTCTCCTGGATCGTAAGGGAATGGCGTATCATTTTCAGGGTGAAAGACACAGTTCTTGAATCTCTTTAATGGAAATACTTGAATAAGTTTGATATAGAAATCATACGGAGCCAGCTGTTCTCTGTTTTCGTACTTCAGTCTCTCCACGGTGCTAAAAGGACATATGTTTTGATAGTTTTAACAGCAAACATCCAGTGTGATGGACTGACTGCTATTAAATAGATTTAAAAGAACATGAAACTCATTGCATGGTCTTCTAAACGTTTGTAAGAGTCAACGAATGGTCTCCTAAACGTTTGTACCAGACACATATCACATGGATAAACGAAAGGGTCTGTTGAATATAAAACATGATAGATCATCTGTAATGTATTCTTAAAGACTTCCCCAGAATCTTGATGATAGTGAGAATGTGAATGTACGGAAATTATAAGCAGTTCGACCTTGAATCCAGTGTCTGACTTCAGTGTCAGACACAGTAGGGAGGTACTCCGGTATCACCCTACAGGCAATCCAATATAAACAAAATGTTTTAAAATGTTATTAAAATTTCTTAATAACTGGCTTAAGATGTGAACCATATGTTGTTTTATTTAGACTGATATTCCCGTTTCTTTCCGTCTCGGCTATGTATGTAGAGGATATACATATGTATACAGTTAGGAGAAGGGGTAGGTGTGTATATTATTTTTTTTAATTGACTTTATTTCAGCATAAACATATATCATGCATTTGGTATAAGGTGCCCCCATCCATCCCCCCCCCCCCCTTTTCTCCCCACTCAACACACACACATGCACACACAAAAGATAGAAGTTTTCAGCTAACAGCTTACCCCATTTTTGCTCCGCCTATAAATGACAATGCCACCACCACCACCACCACCACCACCACCACCATTCCTCCCTCCCACCCATCCCGTTGGGTTTAGACCCCCCACTTCTGTTGATCAAATAGTGTTTAGTAAGGTTGAGCTGTAGACAAAAAAAGGTAATTATTTCGAAAATTATCAAAATTTCAGTATTTATATGAAATTAGAAATTATTGCAGTTCAACAGAGCATAATTACATTCCTTATACTCACCATCGATCACCGTGTTTGTCACGACCGGAGGATGGACAATTTACCTTTCCTCGTGGACATATCTTCTTTGACAGGTTCAAAGGAACCTCTGGGGGTATGATTATCGTAGTACAAAGGACTCGGAGTTTGAAATAAAAAATAACTATCTAAAAAATGATTGGCATGTGTTGAAAAGTTAATTGGACAATTGAAAATAAAAAGGGACTATTTTTTTTTGTGAGAGCCGTGAAATGAATATTCGTGCATGAAATTGAGGCTGACATGATTGTGGGCTATTGACACTGTTTGTGTTTACGCTGGAAAAGGTTATTCTATAATGGACGATTTTCCCGACAATTTTGTAAATGACGCTGATGAAATATCCATAGTTGATTTGGCTGTTTTTGAAGATGTGTCTATAATGAGGTATTCATGTAATGATTTGATGGGTAATCACTGCTACAGATATACAATTATTGACTATTAAGGAGGTCAACACAATGATTTATCAACCCTAGAAACACAATTATCCACTGAGG